ATAGAATTTACACGAAGAGCCCTAAATTAATTTCTTCTTATTTCTGTAGCTTTTAGCTGACAATGAACATTTAGAGCTTTTGTTGTAAATTCTATAACTTTGCAAAGAAAGGTCATGTAGAGTTGGAAGAGGTCTCATTTTAATCAGAAATGTGCGGGCTACAATCATGCCTCATTAAGAACGGTTCGGGTTATTTTTTGGGGTTTCTGAAAAACTCGTTTTCTAGAAAACCAGGTCTTCGAAGGGCTATGCGGAAGCCGCATGGTCGTATTCGTAATCAGCATGGTCGATAACCTATAACCCACTAGATTCCGAGCAAAAAGCGTTTAATCACGTCGTGGGATTCTCTCGTCAGTTTTACCGAAAAAATTCAGGTAGACAGACATCAAGAACATCCGTAGAAAACGTGCCGACAACAAAACCACGTTTAAATAGACCACTGCTTTCATCATTATTTGATGATGTATCAGTTAATGATATATCTACAACAACACAGACCCCAACGATTTCGAACACTAATACACATGACATTTTTCAACCAGTGAAGAGAAAAAATACAAAAAGACAAGTAACGAAGGGGTTCTCGACTCAATTTCACGATTCGCCAATCAAACGAATTCTTGCTAAGAGTGAACCAAATACGAATCCAAAATCAAATAGAAACGAAGAATCTGATCAAAAAGCATTAGTCCACAGTAACAAAATATCCGCTAAGAATTTTGATGATGAAAAAAGAGAATTGTTTATATGCTGTTACTAATCACATTATAAACGATAAAATTCCATTTTATCCTCCCAAAAAGTCATGGATGGTACACAGAATAATTGAATTGCAATTGTTAGACGATACAAACTAATTGATGTATTTTTCATAGCCACATTTCGGAACTGAACGTAATATCACCATATCAAGTAAACCGAGCATTATTCACCCTATTGTTGCAGATGGTAACTGTCTGTTTAGGTATGTAAAACCACTTAGTAAGAAAAGTCTCCCAATATCCCAATCTAATTGATGTTGTAAAAAAACCATAACGAGAGCAAAGCAAACTATAGGCTAGCAAAGGATTGCAGTTATACCAAAAAACTATTCAATTTTTTCAATTTAACTGAAATGCTGTTTAATCAAACTGTTTTAATTTCAGAATGCTAAAAACTTGAAAGAACTATATGAGATAAACAACGAAAACCTTCTTTAGCTTTTTCGATGTCTATTAAAAATCAAATTTACATATTTTGTCAGCGTAGCCATATTAACATCTAAACATGATTTCTCTATTCAAAGGTCGACGAGTTACGTGTTAACAGGATCTGAAGATTATCATCTTCCAATCCGCAAAGCAGCAATTAATCAAATCAAAAATAATGATTATACAGCTTATGGTTCAACTACTACTGGTCTAGAATATGCCTCACAAACAAAAATGAACTTATCTGGCACATTATCTACCGAAAAAGAAATATTTGCGTTGTGTGATATATTGAAATGTCATATTTATGTATTTCAAGACGATACAAAAAAGTGGATAAAGTTTAGACCAATCCATGCTCAACATTTCGGTTTAACATCGATTTATTTAGTTAGAAAGAAAAGAATTCATTTTGATGTAGTGCTCGATGTAGTTGGTTCGACGTCATGATACGCATGTACTTACTGAAAAAATGTCTCGAGGGACTTGTCAGAGTGGTT